GCAGTGGTTTTCCTATGAACAGTGTGAGTCATGTTGAGCAGGCACTTCAAAAGTTGCGCCGTGAAAGCCGTTCCGCGATCGGTGATTACAACCGTTGGAGCGCCATGTCGCAGGACTATTTTGTGTACGAAGAATTGGGCCACTTCTGCTGCCGTTCCTCGTTCCAAAGAGTCTGTTTCGGCGTATCTAGTTAAATAATCAGTGGCCACAACGATCCATTTCTTGCCGAGTAAAGATGTCGGGAAGGGTCCAAGGAGGTCCATTCCAACTTGGCGGAAAGGCGCTTTCGGTGGATCTATAGGTTGTAGAAGGCCCGCTGGTTTAGAACGTGGTGTTTTTCGTCTTTGGCACTCGCGGCATGTTTTGACGTAGTGTTGCACTGAAGCTAGTAGCTTGGGCCAATAATAATGGAGACTGATCCTTGCAAGCGTTCGCGTCACACCCAAATGTCCAGATGTGGGCTCATCGTGACACGCTCGAAGTATTTCTTGTCGCATAGTTGCTGGAACGACAAGCAGGAACTTTTCGCGGTTGGGCTTGAAGTTTCTCTTGTAGAGAACGTTTCCTCGGAGGCAGAACAATGCGAGGCTTCGAGAAAATATACGGGGTACTTGTACGTCAATTCCTTGCAGGTGTTCGATAAGCGGGAGTAATTCTTTGTCTGTACGTTGGAGTTCGGCTATTTGAGTGGTCTCGACAATTCCTACGAACGGAAAGTCGTCTTCTTCTGATAGTGGTGTGTCTGTAGGAGCCCGTGACAAACAGTCGGCATCGGTATGTTTTTTGCCAGATCGGTATACGACGGTTATATCGTATTCTTGCAGTCTGAGGCTCCACCTTGCTAGTCGTCCAGATGGTTCCTTTATGTTCGCCAGCCAGCAAAGCGCATGGTGATCGCTGACTGCCTTGAATGGTCTACCATATAGGTACGGCCGAAATTTACTGATGGCCCAGACGACGGCAAGGCATTCTTTTTCCGTGGCCGAATAGTTTGTCTCTGCTTTTGTTAGAGTCCGACTGGCATAAGCTATCACTTTTCTTCACCTTTCTGCCACTGTATTAGAACGCATCCAAGGCCGATGTTACTGGCATCTGTGTGTATTTCCGTGTCGGCTGTCTCATCAAAGTGAGAAAGAATCGGGGGGTTTTCTAACCTCTTTCTCAATTCGTTGAAGGCGCTTTGTTGCTCGTTTTGCCACTGGAAAGGCACATCTTCTCTCGTAAGTCTCGTTAAGGGTTCTGCGATCTTTGAAAAATTTCTCACAAATCGTCTATAGTACGCACATAGACCTAGAAATCTCCGTACTGACTTTTTGTCTGTTGGCACCGGAAACCTTGCGACGGCGGCCGTCTTATCAGGATCAGGGCGAACACCTTGGGCGCTGACGACATGCCCAAGAAAACGAAGCTCTTCGAAAGCTAATCGGCACTTCTCTGGCTTGATTGTCAAATCTGCCGAACGGATTGCCTCTAACACTGACCGAAGGCGCTTGATGTGCTCCTCAAATGTAGCCGCGAAGATGACCACGTCGTCTAGGTACACTAGGCAACACTGCCACTTCAATCCGGAAAGCACAGTGTCCATCATGCGTTGGAAACGTTGCCGGCGCACAACAGAGACCAAACGGGAGAGCCTTAAATTCGTAAAGTCCGTCCGGGGTAACAAAAGCAGTCTTTTCGCGATCACGTTCATCAACCTCGATCTGCCAGTATCCACTTTTCAGATCTAGTGATGAGAAGAACTTGGCACACCGAAGTCGATCTAACGTGTCGTCGATGCGTGGAAGGGGATATACATCCCGTTTAGTCACAGCATTCAGTTTCCTGTAGTCGACACAAAACCGTAGCGTGTTATCCTTCTTCTTGACAAGCACCACGGGAGATGACCACGGGCTGTTAGAAGGCTGGATAACATCATCTTCAAGCATTTCTCGTACCTGCTTCTTGATGACTTCCCTTTCCTTAGGGGAAACACGATACGGGTGCTGGCATACCGGCCTGGTTGTCTCGTCCGTTATGATCCTGTGTTTTGTAATGCTCGTGCGCCGTACCTTTGAACTGTTGGAGAAACAGCTGCCAAATTCCCGCACGAGGTCGTATAGCTGTTGACGTTGAATCTCTGAAAGATTAGGATTTACGTATATTGTGTCGCAGGCATCAGATGGAAGTTTCACATTCGGTGACGTCGTTTCAAGACTGCATATTTCTGTCACTTCACAGAACTCATGAAGAAACGCTATTGCCGTCCCTTTTGCGATGTGCTGGAATTCGTTACCGAAATTCGTCAAGAGGATGTCTGTGCACCCGTTTCGCAGCTGGATAATCCCTCGTGCCACACAAACGCCTCTTTTCAAGAAAACATCCACGTTGCTCTCCGCCACACCCTCGTAGTCGCTGAATGCATCATTATGCACGAGAACCATTATACTGCTCCGTGGCGGTACAGTCACATCATCGTCGACGACGCGCAGTGGAGTGGTACATCGTTCATCTGATCGTGCTACCTTTAAAGCTTGCTCCGTCGAAAAGGACACGCTCGACCTCTGTAAATTGATAATCGCACCATTAGCTTGTAGGAAATCCATTCCCAGTATCACTTCCCTCGAGCACACAGGCAGGACGACAAAGTCACCGACGTAAGTGAAGCCCCGTATCATGACCCTTGCGGTACATCGGCCGGAAGGGGTTATGAGGTGACCACCTGCAGTACGTACTTGAGGTCCACCCCATTCGGTCAGAACTTTCTTGAGTCGCTTCGCTAATTCGTAACTTATCACAGAATAATCCGCACCAGTATCGATCAAAGCATTGAGCTCTAGTCCGTCAATCACCAACGGCAAGTCTGAAGTAATTTTCTCTGTACTGCACTCCTTTACCTGGAAACAGTCGTCGTTATCAGGCTCGTACCGCAGTGGAGGATCTTCACATCCCAAGTCGCCAGCGGCCTCGCCTCCACAGGTCGCCCTCTTCAGTTTCCCGGATTTGGGCTAGGCGAACGCTGCCTAGACGTGCTTGGGAAGGGACGTGGGCTAGACGAGCGGTAGCGCATAGGGGATGGTGAGCGTGGTTGATGACGACGAGGCGGGTCAAATTCCCGACGTGAGCATAGGTATTCTTCAATCTCGGAAGGTCTTTCGCCGTTTCGCGGACACGGTGCATTGATGGCGAATCCCCTAAGACCAGCTTGACGATATCGGCAGAATCGGTACAGGTGGCCAGCCTCTCCACAGTGGAAACACAAGGGCCTACGTGTGGCATCTCGCCACACATCGCTCTTCCGTGGCATCATCTCTCTCGCACGAGGTGGAGTGCGTGTTGCCTCTACGATTTCAGGCGGGCTGCGCATTGTCTGCACATAAGTACTTGGTGTCTCGATCGGCGAACAGTGCAGAGTAGGTCGCCTGAGCACCTCGGAGTACGTTACCGCCCGTCGTGTCGCCGGCACATCACTCCGCGGCTCCCGCATGGCCTGTCGAATTTCGTCTCGGACAACTTCAGCAAGAGACAGCTCGGGGGTGACATCAGGTGACTGCAGTTTCCTTAATTCTTCCCTGACAACAGACCGGACGAGCTCGCGCAATGTGTCAAGATTATCCACGACGCCTGCTGAGTAGACTCCTGCGGATGCACCGGCTACGTCGCGGTTGTACTGTCGGGCTCTCTGCTGAAGCGTCGTTTCGATGGTTGTTGCTTCCGACCGAAACTCAGCAACAGTACGGGGCGGATTGCGGATGAGTCCCGCGAACAATTCTTGCTTTACCCCGTGCATGAGGTGGCGCACTTTCTTGTCTTCCGTCATGCCAGGATCAGCTCGCTTGAAAAGGCGGGACATGTCTTCGATGTACATCGCGACAGTTTCGTTCGTTCGCTGAATCCGTGTGCGGAGAGCTGCTTCCGCCTTTTCCCGGCGATCACTGTTGGCGAACGTACTCAGTAGCTGCCGCCGAAACTCTTGCCACGACGTCAGAGATGCCTCGTGGTTTTCGTACCACACTCGTGCAGAGTCTTCCAACGCAATGTAGACGTTACGCAGCTTGCCTTCCTCGTTCCACTGATTTAGATTTCCCACTCTCTCGAAATGCTCTAACCAGTCTTCGGCGTCCTCGTATGGGTCACCATGAAACACCTTTGGGATGACCGGTTGGCTTACGATGAGTTGTGCCGGCGTAACTTGGCTCGTCATGGTGGTGGCGGCGCTTGTCTCCGTCACCGATGCCCTTGATACAGAAGGGAGTGGCCCAAATTCTGGCAACTCTCCTCGGATACGGCGGCTGACTCGTTGGTGCACCGGTGTAAGCTCCACTGGTTGCGGCTGGTCAGTGCTTGGACTTCGCTCTTGCGTGGGGCTCGGAATCATGTACCCAGCACCTCCACCAGAAAATGTAACGGATATAACAACCTCACAACCGGGACGTCCTATTTACAAGGTTTAATAAGGGCGAACTTGTGCCCAAAGCCAAAAGAACTACACAGTAGCTGGGAGAAAGCAGCGAACGCTCGTCGTCCTCTTCTTCTCTTCTTTTTCCGCTGCTCGGTAGCAGCTCGTGCACAGGCTGGGCCGGCTCGTGCCTTCCGGCGGGCTTCATGAGTCGTAGCGATGCCGTCAGCGTTCCTCTTTTAACAACGTCTGCGTTGTACTGCGCCTTAACAATTCCTCGTGGCAATATATATATTATACGTACATCATGAAGAGTTCCTATAAAATTAGGGGAAAATAAGTGTACGGTTCTAAAGAACTCTTTAATGACGACGTGTCGACCGGAGACCGATCTTCATCAGAGCTAGTCTGATGAAGATTGGTGACGTCTGATGAAGATCAGTTATGATAATATATGACCACGTCTGTGTTCTCTGTTTCTGTTTCTACTGCTCTGCTTTTTCCGATTTTGACGTTTTATGACTTTTGTAGTTTACTAAGTATGTACCAACTTGACCAACAAGCGACTCTCCTGATACGATTTCTTCTCTTCCTCCGTTTTTCATCTAATGGTTGATTGCAGGTTACCTGGCTCGCTGCCGCCTCTACGACGCCACCGAGTGGAAAGAAGTGTCCCTGGGCCCTGAAAAGCGAAGCTACCTGTTCGAGGGACTGCACTGTGGTAGTGAATACGTGTTCTCTGTACTTTGTTTCAATCGTCATGGACGAAGCGAGCCCGACGAGCTACTGCACGCAAAGACAGAAGGCACAGGTTAGAATTTTACTTAAATTCTCGAAATAAAAAAAATTGTCTTACAAAATTTTATTCACAATAATAACAATTAATTTAGGGCATTGTAGCGATGGTAAGTGTTTGAAAATTTTGTGTAATATCGGGGAAAAAAGTGCGGTGGTTTCAAAAGCAGTCAGACCCACGGAGTGCTTTTGAAAGATACGCGAATGAAACAACAAGGAACAAGAGACAGCATAGATCAAGGAATGGGGCAGTTAGTTGCCGCTATTCTTGTGCGCCTCGTATTACACTGTGAAAAGCATGATAGTGATGACATAAAAGAATGAAAAGTAGTTTAGTCATGGACATCTTTTCGCTGTTTATGTCAGTTATTGAATGGTTCTTTCCTGGTAATACTAAGTTAACACAACGAAGAACTAGACTGTTGTAAGCTTTCTGTGTTCTTTAGGAGTTTAGAAAGAAACGGGAACGATTTATGGTACTGTACATTCTGCCTTGCATTAGCTTGAAACGCTGTTGAGGCCAGCGCTAGTGCTGCCTGCGCTTGGAAAACTTGTAGTAATCGCGAAATTTCAGGTAGCCAATGCTTGAGATAATATCTACTACCTACAAAACACAAAACGGCACAAACTGCTTAGTAAGTAACTTTGTTAGCATGACACTTACTACCTCCAGCTACTACCTACAGAAAATCAGCAATACAATGTAAGCAATTTTACTGTCATGGCAATTACCCTGCTAATACGTTTATAAACGCCAGTGAACTACAAGTAGTCAAAACTAAGTTCACAATTATTTTACTTATATGCGCCTTTGGCATTTTCATGCAAAGTCACTGGTATTGCAAAAGTATACACATTGGAATTGGAATTTTCGAACAACCTAGTTGCCTTCCGATTTACTTACTAAGCAATCCAGTAAAAAAAAAACAAATTATGGTGGGACTTGCTCAGTGTGTAATTGGCAGCAATGCTAATTCGGCGGCGGCGTTGAGTATACGTCAGCATAGTCATCCCCTGTGTGTTTGCAAAGTACGTTTAAAGATTTTTTTCTAGAAGAAAAAGTGAACAAATCAGAGTACTGCACAGAACTGTACCACGGTAGAACCGCCTGCACTTGCCTCTGAGTGTATACATAGCAGCGGGAATCCGTGCGCAGAAAAAGGATTGACTGTTAAATGTCCAATTCACTCTGCAGTGGTAGACTTATAAACCGCTGCTACAAGAATGCTGGTGGGCCCAAGAACTGTTGCTGCACCGAATTGGGCCGAGAAGGAATTCTGAACTCTCTGTAGTTCTAAATTCCGTTTTCCTACATTAGGTTTAGCCCTGCGGATACTATGGAAGAAGTTCGGCCAACAATATGTGTGCGTACGCACTTCTCACGATGGGCGATTCGTTGCGAAGGCTCGGGCGAGTGCAGAAGGATAATAATGATATATCGCGTTTAACGTACCAAAACTACGATATGTTTGTGAAGGATGCCGTTGTGGAAGGTTCCGAGAATTTCCCCCCGCCATGCACTCACATCGCCGTTATATAGCATTTCGCCGACTTGGGAATGCGACCGCCGCGACTGGAATCAAGCCAATGACCTTCGCGTCAGCGGCCGAATACTGCAACTGCTACGCCATGCACGGTAAAGGACGAGTCGCGATCAAGCTGAACAGGAAGTGTCGCAACGTGCTGCAAATGCAACAGGAGTAAGCGGAAAGAACAAGACGCTCAGTGGTCAAGAAACACCCACTATCAATCCTATAATGGCATTCGTTTATGTGAGAAGGCATATTAATGGAAGGGTCCATGACACAGTCGCCCATAAATTTGCGGTTCTCCTCGAAAAGTAGAAGTAGAGTGTCTATTGTGTCTATACAGACACGAAGAATGTACTGTAAGAGTATGTTTGATTGCGAAATGGGTGCTAGAACCTAGAAGTCACTGTCTCTAAACACCGTTCACCGCCAGCGACCACCATGTTGCTAGGGCGTGTGTGACGTCATGTGCTTTATGGAGTGCAGCTGCAGTCTTGTACCAAAACTTCAGCCGCTGCAAATTGTTCAATTTTCAATGCTAAGCTGAACAAAGCCGAAATAGCGGGATTGCACGCTCAACTGACCACAAGACGAAATTGTTGGCCGTCATGTAGACACTTGTAAATTAAGGAGCGTGTTGCACCAGGGCTCGCGAGTGTGCCAGTGTTTTCATACTTTCAGGCCACCTGCGTATTCATAAAATTATTCAATAATAAATAAAGTGCTGAAGCGAATGCGCTGAAATTTCGCCAGCCTGTCTGTGAACATTCAAGGATTCCGTGGCTTCTTATTAGGTTCTATGATTTCTTTGTGATTAGGCCTGAAGAAGACAAGAAATCGTGTTTCGGGTGATAGAATCGCTGGACTGTTTGTCGCTGCAAAAGCATCTGCGGCATGAAACCTCGCCAGCATAGTACGCTTTGTTCCCGATGTATGAGATGTTTCAGACTTTCTTGGCAGCACAGTGGAAGGACGGGCTTTCCCAGTCAGTCTTTATAGAAAGCACTACAAAAATTGTGCTTCTACATGCCTCTCGCTTTCGTGAAATCAACAGTGGCACCACCTGTGGGCAAAAAGGTGTACTATACTAATCAACTTGATTTTTGTAGCAGGCGGTGCTTGGCACCTTCTTGATCTCTTTTGTTTATTTTACGACGAGCCGATATTTGTCCCGAAGAAACTGGCCTGTATTTATATTTATTTTTACCTGTGTCTATAGGTTGTCACGAGACAGCTTTTGGACGTTCATACAACGTGTATAGTTAAATATTTGCTTTAGACATGAAATCAATCAAGTGGCTTTAACCGTTTTTTTAATTAACGAACAATGCATGCATCGAACAATGTAAACCAATCCGAAGCTTCATTTTCCTGAATAAGAGTGGACAATTCTCTGTTTTCCATGTGGCTTCTTTCACTGCCAATAAATTGAATATACCAAACTGGGTGCACCATGTAGTGATTAGCATGAGCTGGTTAGAAGAGTTCACATCTCATCATTCTTCTCACAAATTGAATATGCCATAGGAGCTACCACATGTACCGGCGTTAACACTGGAACATGTAAGTGAATTGCTTATACAGAGCCGGCGCGTAGCCAGAAATTTTTTCCGGCGGGGAGGGGGGGGGGGGGCACCTTAATTTCGGAAGGGGCATCCCCATAAAATTGCCATTTTTTGCTGTCTATGCAATGTCGAAAAAAAATTGCGGAAAAGGGAGGGGGGGGGCACGTGCCCGGTGTGCCATCCTCCGTCTACGCCCCTGATACAGGGTGTTTCAAGAAATGTGTCCAATATTCTTAAAAAAAAATTGTCGGATCACGCATGGTGGGCAAAAGCTATTAACTGGGCCGGAGAGGTCATGGTGAGCTATTGGCCCCCACTTTTCAAATTTCCGGCAAGCCAAAGTCAACGACCTGGTTGTAGCTGTCAATGAAGTTGTTCTCTTTGTTTCTGTTTTCATCCCTCAAAGCAGGCACGATTTAGCGGACATTTAGTCTGCCACGAGATGAGCTGCCCTTACAGCATTCGCAATGTCTTCTTTAGGGAAAACGTGTCAGGCCGCATGTCGCACACTCTGCAACAGTAGGAGATTTATGCCGCCTTCACAAATTGCAAACGTATCAAGCTATGCAATATTCAAGTGATCCTGCAAGAAATAACGAGCCGCTGGGCAAATTATACAGGTGCGGCGCCTTCAGGTCAACCATTTGTACGGCTGATGTGAACTTTCAATGTACCAGCTAAAGGTTCACACTGAAGCTTTACGTACGCATACAACACTTTTGTTTGACTGGATTGCCTAACTCCGTTTTTGTTTCAGATCTTTAGTGTTTTAAAAATATGGAAGGCACAATTTAAGAACTTTCGTTCAGTAACGGGCTCTCGATCGAGAAAGACATCTCAGTTTTGTACATATTTCTTGCATGAATTGTATCATATTGATTCTAAGAATTTTTCTCGGACTACCTGCAAGAAAAAGAAGGCCAAGTGTCCTCGTAATTTATTTTTCATTCTGTCTTTCTCCGCCGTGCGGTACCAGTAACATTAACGTTTCTTCATATTTATCCTATTTTCCATGTCCCTACGAAAGACAGTTCTCCCGTAGCTTGTGTTCGCAGCTTGAAAAATCGGTTGCCAGTGCTATCCCCCCCCCCCCAATCACCAATATACCGATCATTCATGACCATTTATCGTGCAGTGCCTCAAGCCCCGTCAGCCAAAACGGCCGTGGTGACCAACACAAGTTATCTAGGCCTAGTGCTGGCCGCCTGGAACGACGGAGGCTGTCCCATCAGCCACTTCTTCGTCCAGTACCGGCCCCGCGACGAGTCTGACTGGACGCTGCTCAGCTCTAGGGTGCTGCCTGACCGTGACATTGCGCTTATTGTCGACCTCGTGCCTGGTACCTGGTATCAGCTACTGACAGTTGCCTTCAACAGCGCGGGCTCCACCAGGACAGAGTACACAGTAGCAACACTAACCGCAGGCGGAGGTGAGTGGAAAGCACGAGGGTTAAAGTGGAGTCGCAAACTGTAGCGAGAGTCAATTAACATAATGATTCTGCAGTGTCTGACGTCACTGAGAGACTGATGCTGTGGCCGCCCTCTGTGTGAGCAAAAACTGTTTGTTGGCGACTGGCTTCATTTGCTTAAGTTTGCTTGACAGGGTTGATAAATGGAGGCACGGACGCCACATAAAACCCATTTTTCATGTAGAAGCAGTGATAGAGGTATCCCATTTCGAAGATAAAATGCCTTTTCGCGCCAACTCAACCCACATTTCACAGTGAGGCTTGTCTGATTTTTGACGGCTGAACTTACTCTATTGCGGCAGGATCTGTAATGGGCTAATGTTGGGAAGTGTCGGTTTACAGTTTTCTATCGTCGACTATTGATGGCAACTCTTTATTGTAACTGCAACATTGTTTTTTTACTTCTTAACTCCTAGTTTATGTCCACTGAATGATGGAAGCATGTAGCAACTATTCCCCTAACTTCATATTTTCAGGGTTGTTTGAAGTGGTGCTACCATAAAAATGAGATATCAACTATCAGCGCAATCAACTGTATTTTATCTCTTCCTTTTTTGACCAATATAAAAAAGAAATACATGCAAAATAGAACAGGAAGGCCTGATAGAAACATGGAGCCTTCTCCAAGTCCGAGTCAGAGGTATAATTTTTCTGCTAATGTTAAATCTAGGGCAGGGCTGCGTAATAGTGCCGCTGTAGGTTCCGTCAGTTTATACATTTAGAAATTGAATTCGTGTGCATATTTTTCTCGACACAAAACGCGATAGTATACTTAGCGTGCTCACTTTGATGCCATACAATGACATCATTGTGTTTTAGGGGTGAAGCTCCTTAGGGTCGAGCAATGTCCCCTAAAAAATGTCTCCTGAAAGGTGATGTACCTAAAATGTACACTAAACCTTCGAATTGTTTCTGCCATTCCAATTTGCATGTGTATAACATTATTAATGCGCTAACGATACCAGCGAGCAAAACTGAAATCATCCTCAACATGCATACTTCTGGAGCAAAACGAATGTGCGGAAGCCCTGTCTCCAAAGCTTTCGGTTTACAGCCAAGTTAAGTTGTCGCCGAGTATAGAGACCTGTCTGCGTTACATGGTTTGACTCGAGTGAGTGCTATGCTACGCATTGTTGCGTCATGTGCTCTCGCACACGATATTACATAGTTGTGACCACGGCCGAGCACTAGCAGCATGGTCGTGCATGTTGTGAATGAGCGTCGATAGGGGTGTGAGTTTCCACTTGGGCTTATTCGTTCATTATACAGGAGGGAAGAGGACAGGTATGCCAACGAATTGAGTAAGAAGAGTACTGAATAGACTCTATAGTGCCAATAGAGTACCATAATGGGTACTTGATAACCACAGCAGAAGCAAAGGTTAGGCTGCGGTATGAATCGAACATCATTGCGCAGCGCACTATACAAAGGAACTGATATGACGAAGTTATAATCATGATTACATTGACATTGTCTTGCGAGCCACACTGAATTTATGCAATAGCTTTTAATAACGAAACAGCAGCACTATATATATACATATATATAACAATGTATGTATGTATGTACGTACGTACGTATGTATATACGTATGTACGTACGTACGTATGTATGTATGTATGTATGTATGTATGTATGTATGTATGTATGTATGTATGTATGTATGTATGTATGTATGTATGTATGTATGTATGTATGTATGTATGTATGTATGTATGTATGTAGGTATATATATATAAATATATACGTATATATATTGTATTACACATACATATATAGTAAACAACTATCAAATTTTCTTAAGTGTGCTCCTTTATTTCTTTTATATATATATATATATATATATATATATATATATATATATATATATATATATATATATATATATATATATATATATATATATATATATATATATATATATATATATATTGTAGCGATGCTGACGCCGACAGGTTAAAAAAACAAGCGACTTTATTAGGGCGAACTTGTGCCCACGATTCTAAAAACTATGGTCGTCAAGTTCGAGTAGCCGAGTAGCACAGATCTAACTTCCTCTTCCTCGTTGTTGAACGTCCGAACGCGTGGCGCATGCCAGCCGAGCCGGGTCTTGCTGGTGCTGGTGACGATGATTGTGGTGGGCTACTTGAATGTGGCGAACCTGTCGCAGCATTGCCCCCCTCCTCAGACGCATCGTCCCGATGCTTAAGACAGTGAAAAGATACACGCCCACTCTCACTCGTTTTTCGACGATCTGTCATGATAGGGCTTCATGCGGACTACGTGGACCACTTCCGTGGGATTGCGGCGTCTTGAACTCACGTGTCCAGCGGATCTAACTTCATAAGTGACGTTGCTGATACGGTTGAGTACTTCATAAGGGCCGAAGTATCGGCAAAGAAGCTTTTCAGAGAGTCCGCGGCGGCGCACTGGTATCCATATCCCCACTTTGTCACCGGGATGATAAAGTGTGTCACTGCGTCGCTTGTTGTAGCGACTAGAATCGACGTGCTGTTGGTGGCGTATTCGGTATCTTGCCATTTGCCGTGCTTCTTCGGCTCTTTGCAAGAAGTCATCTAAGTCAGGTGGATAGCTGCTTTCGTCCTGTAGTGGTAACATGGCATCCAGCGGGGTGGTCACTCTTCGGCCGAATACTAGTTCGAAAGGGGCAACGTGGGTTGTTTCTTGAACGGCTGTATTATATGCGAATGTTACGTAGGGTAATATTTCGTCCCACTGTTTATGTTCAACATCAACATACATTGATAGCATGTCGGTCAGAGTTCTGTTGAGGCGTTCGGTTAAGCCATTTGACTGAGGGTGATACGCCGTTGTTCTTCTGTGATCGGTATTTGTCATGCGCATCAGGCATTGCATTAGGTCTGCAGTAAATGCGGTGCCCCGATCCGTAATAACGACGATTGGCGCACCATGTCTGAGCACTATGTTGTTCACAAAGAACTTGGCGACTTCGGCAGCTGTCGCACTGTATAGAGAGTCAGTTTCAGCATAACGGGTGAGATAGTCTGTGGCTACGACTATCCATTTCTTGCCTGCACGCGATGTCGGCAAAGGTCCTAGGAAGTCCATGCCGACTTGTTGGAATGGGGCATCTGGAGGGTCTATTGGCTGGAGAAGGCCGGCTGGTTTTACGGGTGGAGTTTTGCGCCGTTGACATTGACGACAAGTTTTCACGTAGCGCTGCACTGATGCGAGCAACTTAGGCCAATAGTATTTCAGGCGAATCCTGGCGAATGTTCGGCTCACACCCATGTGTCCAGATGTTGGCTCGTCGTGGCATGCGTGCAGAATTTCCTCTCGCATGGCTGTGGGCACGACTAGTAAAAACGTTTCACCATTAGGTTCGAAGTTCCTCCTGTAAAGGACACTTCCTCGAAGGCAGAACGCGGAGAGCCCTCTGGAGAATATGCGAGGGACTTGAACGTCGAGACCCTGCAGGTGTTGTATAAGTGCCAGCAAATCCGGGTCATCTCGTTGTAGTTGAGCGATTTTGGATGTGTCGACAACGCCTAGAAACGGAAAGTCTTCCTCTTCAGGTACACTTGGATCGACAGGAGAGCGTGACAGGCAGTCGGCATCGCTGTGTTTCCTTCCCGATTTGTACACGACCGTAATATCATACTCCTGCAGCCTAAGGCTCCATCTTGCTAGTCGACCTGACGGGTCCTTGAGATTTGCCAGCCAGCATAGAGCATGGTGGTCACTGACAGCTCTGAACGGTCTACCATAAAGGTAGGGTCGAAACTTGTTTATGGCCCAGATGACTGCGAGGCACTCTTTTTCAGTTGCAGAGTAGTTTGCCTCAGCTTTTGATAGTTTGCGGCTGGCATAGGCTAACACTTTCTCTTGACCATTTTGCCACTGGACAAGGATGGCGCCGAGGCCGACATTGCTGGCATCGGTATGGACTTCTGTGTCGGCTGTCTCATCAAAATGGGCAAGTATTGGTGAACCCTGTAGTCGTTTCCTTAATTCGTCAAAAGCTTTCTGTTGTTCGCTTTCCCACGTGAAGGGCACGTCGTCTTTTGTCAGTTTTGTAAGAGGTTCCGCAATCTTTGAGAAGTTTTCGACAAATCGTCTATAATAGGCACATAAACCCAAAAATCGACGCACTGACTTTTTGTCTCTGGGTGTAGGGAACCTCTGAACAGCGGCTGTCTTTTCGGGATCGGGACGAACACCCTCGGAACTAATGACATGTCCAAGGAATCGCAGCTCTTCGAAGCCGAAGTAGTATTTTTCGGGTTTGATCGTCAATTTCGCTGACCGGATGGCTTCCAATACTGTGCGTAGTCGCTCTAGATGTTTGTCGAACGTTGCAGAGAATACCACCACGTCATCCAAATACACTAGGCATGACTGCCATTTCAGTCCGGCGAGGACAGTGTCCATCATTCGCTGGAACGTCGCTGGTGCGGAACAGAGGCCGAATGGAAGCGCTTTGAATTCGTAGAGGCCATCTGGTGTTACGAATGCCGTTTTTTCACGGTCCCGCTCGTCGACCTCTATTTGCCAATATCCGCTTTTCAGATCTAAGGAGGAGAAAAACTTTGCGGATCGCAACCGATCTAGTGTATCGTCGATACGTGGCAAGGGGTAGACATCTCGTTTAGTCACACTGTTCAGTTTTCTGTAGTCGACGCAGAATCTAAGTGTGTTGTCTTTCTTCTTAACGAGCACTACGGGAGACGCCCATGGACTATTCGAAGGCTGGATGACATCATCAGAAAGCATCTCCTCCACTTGCTTCTTGATAATTTCCCGTTCTTTCTGTGACACCCGATATGGATGCTGGCATATAGGCCTCGTGTCGTCTTGCGTTATAATTCTGTGTTTCGTGATTGACGTGCGCTGGACCTTCGAGGTACTTGAAAAGCAATCAGAGAATTCTTTTACCAAGGCGTAAATCTGTTTCTTCTGACTGTCCGGAAGGCTCTGAT